TAAAAATATTCACAACAAGATGGGATCAGATGTCTATCTGCAAGGGTTCCAGCAACCTTTCCAAGCAGACAATCAGAGGTTAAGTCATTCAACAAGCCACACTCTGACCTTGGGTTTCATCAAACACGACTTTATTAACAATGACCTGGCATCATGCGGTAGTCAACTAAGTAATAAAAGGTAAAGCCTTTACCGAGGTCAAATGACTAGAGTGCCAACAAGGAAGACTGAGGGACATAATGTGTGGTTAAAAAGAGACCTGAACAAAGGATCAAACACAAGACAAGGAGAAGTAACAAACTAATGGCAATACTGCTAAATGAAATGCCTTGAAGGGATTTTCAACGGTTTCTTCCGTTTACACACATGAAGTTTTCAAAAATTCAATTAATACGTAAAAATACTGATGTGAATTTTGGAAAGATAGCTGACGGCAGTCCGTTAAACGTGAGTACACCTGTGAGAGACATGCTCTGGGCCCAATGCTCTGAAGTTCAAGAAACCAATTATTCATATTCATACATACATATTCATGCATACAAGTAAGACGAAAATATTGAATTTGGGATAATATCGTAATTTATTTTTATGGACTTGAGTAATTATAAGTTGTTGAAATCAACAAAGCTTAGGTGCTGCAGATATAAGTGGTATGATGTCGTACAACACTTTGGGCAAAATCAAACTTAACGAAAATATGATTAATGAATGCTGCTCATGTGATTATCAGGGGAGAGCATAAGTTGTAACCAAGCTAAGTACATCTCCCAACTCATGTCTGTTATGATGTCATGAACCTTTGTCAGTGTTCGGGTAAATTCGACAGTGATGTTTTCAGTATTCAGTAGATTTGCTAAACTACTTATACTGATGATTTGCACGCATGATTGTGTCGCTAAACCCCAAATTAGACTGACAAGGTTCTAAGATGTTTATTGAATAAGCAATTCATGGAGAAACATACGGAAATCATTTTTTTAGATAAAGACAACTACTTGAAAACAACGCTATTCGTTGGCCACTATAGGCCAGTTTATAAATCGAGTTTACAATATTTTTTTCACCATTTTTATCAATCATATTACATGATTGTCAGGTCATGACAATGCTTTATAAAAATATCCAGAAACCATTATGAATAACTAGTTATTGTGTTTATTAAGGATTAGCTAATGGGAGATGGGTATTATTGTTTTGGAGGACTCGGAACCATCAAGAGTTTGTAGAATCGACGGATTCCAGCTGCCTGATCATGTTACAATTTGCAACCTAGAAATATTCATTCACATGGAAAACATTGAAGGTGGTTCAAATGCTTGCTAAGTTCAAGTAGCTTAAAGATTATATATTACAATCCATCTGTAGATAGCGTTGAGTCTAAGCTGACTATGATCACCACCACAATAAGATTACGCGCCCGAAAGAGACTTGGTTTCTTCGATAGGTTGTAAACTAGAAGGCTGTAATTGGTCGTATTATCTAGGATGTACCCAGTATTAAAATTCACAGCTGAAATTGGAACGGATCCATCTGGCCCCTGTAATTTTGTACTATCATGATGTCGGTTGTGTAGTAAAACCACGGATGTCTAGAATTTGAATCATATATTTTCCAATACTATCCTCCACCACGAATAATGTTGGGTCCTTACGTCACAATGTTATAACCAATTTGACGTCCCTAAGTTGTATTATCTTTTTATATCTCACACTTAGATTATTATATATGAGTATTCGGGGATACACGCTGACATTTAAATTTAAGGCAATGCATCATGTGGCTTTGATATGCATAAAAATATGACACACATTCCTTTTGGTTTTCATGTTAGAATACACGGATAAATATGCATTGATATATCTAAATAACACATGTGATTCATGTAGGCTTGATTCACCTGCGAAATAATCAAATGGAAAACATGTATCTGCTTCATACTCGTTAGGATAATCTTGGACTACATTTGGATTTCTTGCCTGTGCATTTACCAAACTTAAGCTCATCTTCGTGACCTCATTTGCAACTTCTCAATGAACTGTTATCTGAATAACCTTCATTACGCGTTGGACTGGGATGACGTAGTAAAGTAGTGCAATTCCTGACATCCTGACTGATCATTTTAGGAAATGTCCCTCTTTTACGGAATTCGAAATGTGTACGCTTGGTATGGTCTAGTAGTAGTGACTTTAGAGTTGCATAAGGGAATGAAATCGGCTTGTCTGGAAATGTCAGAGTCTTTATTAAGCTGTATTCTTCTTTTCCGATGAATGTGAGGAAATGTGCCACAATTTTATCAACCCTGAGATCTTTCCTGGTCATGCTCCAGATGTATTGTATTTGGAATTCGAAATCAGGCAGTCTTAAAGTATACAGAAATCGTTAGTTCATACAAACACCACACTATCTTCAGTTTGTTACAAAGAGTGAGCGAAAGAGAACTGAAGTACCAAACTCGAGAAACTTGTCGAATCTGCCAAGCGAACAGCTAGACTTCCGTCGGTTGGGTAATCATAATGCAACGTATTCTTAAATAGTTTCAAAAAGATCAATCTGATGTTCAGATCGAAGACCGTAACTTATCCTAGCAGATTAAGCAACATACATCAAGGCAATGTTATTCCCTACAGATAATTGTCTTATTTGTCTCACCTAACGGTAATTCTGATACATCAGTAACTACGTTACACTGAAACCTGAACAAAATTTCAACAAATAGGGAATCCATGAATAGATCTCACAGTGTCAACGTTTGGTCATGTGGTTCGGCTCCTTTCAATACTTTGTAGATGGCGTCGTGTTGCGATTGACTACGATCACCACTACAAGAAAATTACGTGCCGAGTATCGACTTGGATCCCACGGTAGGCCGAAAAGCAGAAGGCTGTTAATGCTTGCAATAAGATATATTTGTTGGCGATCTCTAGGTATCGAAAGAACACTGAGACGTGCCGAAGATTACAAGTGTAACTGCTGAGCGTAAGCAGTTCGTGCAAGGTCACAGGCAACGGAAGGAAAAGTCTTTTTGGTGCAGTTAAACAAACAAGTACAGTAAAACGATTGTTTTACTGTACAATTGGTTATAATATTTCCATTATACCAATCGCGTTCTCGTCATAAAAGTAGGTCACTAAACTTCTTGAATATTAGGTACAAATTTCGTTAACTCAGAGGATGCCTACAAAAGTACACCACGAATATACTTCAAAGATCCCATGTGGCTATAGGTTCAAATAATGATATGAAATAATCGTTAAAATAGAAGAGTTTATCGCTTATCAGATATGCACATAACATTCTCTTCACTATAGTATTCATTTCACCCGTGATTTCCGACGAAAAACCCCTTCAGCTTCTCCAAAGAATAGATAAGGTGATAAATCTACTCCATTGTATGATGTTAACGAATGAACAATTGGATAATGAGCAGTTCTAAATGTGGAACGCTTTTCGTAAACGTGTGTAAGTACATTATGCGATTGACGTAAATGAGTGCTAATTGAAGCAAATTAAAAAAGAAAGGTTCTTTGAATCTTCTTTATGCTTGCAAAATAGGTATATATTTGTTCACCATTGTACGGTCGATTCGAATAAGGTTCATGGGTGAACGGACGGAACAAAAAAGTAAGGGAAAAATGCACAAAATTTGGTAGAGGGCGAAAAATATGAAATTTTTACACCACACAGCCAAATAAAGGTTGTAAATCACGAAGTACTGGCCAGCTATTTCATCCTACTATGGACTCCTCATAATTGCGCATCTGCTACCCCACACGCTACCAATCTCACGACTCTCAATGCTTTCGGCGGGCACTCAACCATCGAGACCATCGAGTAAGTGTATAGTCAGTTAATCACATTGCTCGATTAGTAAGTAACTGCTTCACGCCTGGTATCGTTGAAAGTTCCTGCCCACAGAATCTTCTAAGAACTCGGCGAATTAACTCGCAACATTCATCAGGCAAGGATTTACAAGGTAAGGACAACATTCCTGAAGTTGAACAACATATGAAACTCAAAACAACTGTCTCTCAACTAATATCAAAGTGAGAATATTCAATACGAACGTCAAGATAGTCAGTTCTACTGTACGGAGCTGAAACTTGGAGAGAACGACTACAATCATCATCAAACATGTACAAGTATTTATAAATAATTGTCTACGTAAGATACTGAATGTCTGTTGGTTGGATATGAACAGAAACAACCTAGTATGAGAGAGAGCAAACCAACTTCGATGTGAAGAGGAAATTAGGAAAGGATGTTGGAGGTTGATATGACATACATTACAGAGACCGTTGCACTTAATTACGAGGCAAGTGCTAACTTGGAATCGTGAAGGGAAACAAAGAAGATGAATATCAGAGAAGAAAGTGCGTGGAGAATTGGAAATAGACATGAAAAGGATGAATCGCAACTGCAATTAAGTGGAAAGGATTATCCGAAACCAAGTTGGATGGAGAGAGTTTGTGCGCAGTCTATGCTACTCCGCGAGGGTTAACAGACATAAGTAGTAAGTAAGTGTTCTACTGACTTTCTTTATAACGATGAAATAGAGTCAATCTCCATACATTTTATAAACGATATCAATACATTTTCTGCAAAAAATAGCGCTAAAATTTATTTGTTTATTAAACAATAAATCAAATAATTGCTAACTGAAAATAAAGAAAAAAACAAATTTATAAAATCAACTTCACTTTTTAATTAGATAACAATCCCAAACTATCTAAGTATTTAGTCAGATTCACATTTAGGGAAACTTATATTTTTCAAACATAGAATTTTTATTCATTTAAAGGACTGTTTTATGCTGAAATTTTGTTTTGTTGTAGCTGTTTTTTTCTTCTCATACTTATCATATCAACATCAGATTTTATAATATTTGACTACTAAAAAAAGTAATCATAACTGTGCTATGATTGGTTGAAATGAGGTTGATATTGTTATTATCATTATTATTATTGTTATGACTATTATTATTATTAATATAGGCTTAACAATTAAGGGGAAAGTTATCATTACAAACTAGAAAGCAAATAAATAATCATAAACATAATGACTTGTTCTCAAAGATTATATAAAATTATCTTATTTCTTGTATACTTATATTACTTATATAAATAAGAGTAATTTGAGCATAACGCGTGGAGAGTTGAAACTTTAATGAATAAATATAAGATGAGGATTGGTAATAAAATAATAAGATTTATATAATATTGTTTCCACTATTACCATTATTGCTGTCATCATCATCATCGTCTAAATTGCTATTGATATCCTTGTATACTTGTCGTCAACATTATCATCATGTTCATTGAATACATTTATTCTATTATACCTTGGATAATTTGGATTTCAGGTAATGAAAAATTCTTGATAAATCTATTTATTTATGATTTATTATGTTCACCATCTAACCCTAATGATACGATACATTTCGAGTTTGAGAGATTTGTAAGTTAGAGTCTCAAAGAAAGTTCAATCATATTTGTCATTTTCATAGACCTTTATACAAATTCGAGGCTTTCGGTAGATATTTTCGACTTTATGTTCCATATTATTCAGTTTCTTTTTAATGCGAAGGCATAAATTATTATAAATTTACCAACTACTTTGTTTAATCAACTGGATAGCATTAACAGCATCCACACAAGATGTTGTAGCTGAAGTGGAGTAAATGAACCTGTAATTAGTTATTGATTTTATTAAATGAAACAAATTACTCCCCGATGTTAAGAGTAACTTTAACAATTAAGTCTTAAATATCCATTAGTTAAGTGTAAGGTCACAAAGAAGGATCAGCGTTCACTTTTTTGTGTATGCATACTTGAATAATTTGAATTACTATAAAGGGTTAACTTGCAGATTAGCCATACAAAAAAGAATGCTCTGTAAAGTCAGTATTCTATAGTTAGTAAAAATTTCACACTATTGTCCCATAATAGGACGAAACGGCCGTCCAGTGTTTCCAGGTTTTCGATGGTGGTCTAGCTTCAACTGACTCATAATCTTAACTATAAAATATTAAAAATAATTTGTTTTTGTTGTTGTTGTTCTTTTCTTGATGTTTCCTTAATAAATTAGAGATTTTGGGATCCATATATGATACTGACAAATGTGTTACATCCTTCTTGTTTGCTATAAATCAATAATGATATAGATATCTTCACTGAAATAATGAAAAAACTGACTGACTAGATTATTCGATTTCGAAATAATCGGAAACCATTTTGTTGAATTAATTAATCATTAACTAAATATATATTTTCAAAAGTTAACAAATGTGATCTTGATATGTCATTGAATAAAATTACTACATAGGATAGGGGGTTTATTGAAATAATCAAATTTTCGTAGTTTTCATCAAGAACTAATCTTACTTAGAGAACCATTAAAAACCAAAAAAGCACTAGACAATTGTTTCATATTAGTATGGGACTGCTCACCAGTTCATGTAACAGGAAAAAGAACGCGGGAGCCTCGGTCTCGTACGCGAACATTAGACGAGCAATATTGTAAATTGATTGAAATCAGATATGTGAGCTACTGGACGCCTGCTCATTTGTTTATACTTTAAGCGTTAGAGCGCAAAACCGAGGGTCCCAGGTTATTTTTCCTGTTGCATGAACTGTTGAGCAGTCCCATACTAATATTAAACAGTTGTCTAGTGCTTTCTGGTTTTCAGTAGTGCTCCAAGTAAGATTAGTTCTTGAACTAAACTACGAAAATCTGACATTTTCTACAAACCGCCTATCCTATGTCGTCGTTTCAGTCAAGAATATTTCAAAATTAAATTATACACTCTAAACGCGTTGATAAAACCTTCCAAACTTTAATAAAATTTGACAGATTACTAGTAATGCTTCAAATAATATTGTCTTGCAAAGTTGTTTCGTGTAGAAAATATTTTAAGTATACATTATACTGAGGGTAAAATATACACCTCTAACCGATTTATTTCGCACTTTAGTAATTGAACTTTCTTGTGTTATATGCAGACATCATTCACATTAATGGGCAACACTACTTTCCATCCCTTTTTATAAGTTAAATTTGAAAAAGAAACTGTTGTTAATTTTAAAAGGTAATAGTAAGTATTACATATGTACACAAATAAATAATACAATTCAGTTAAGATATTCATTTCAATTTGTTAAAGTAATAATTGCATAGAAAAGCTAACAATGATATCTTTTGCTTAACAACTGGATCGTTTTCAGATAGGATTCATTTCAAATGTCTCATCTGATTATTGATATAAGCTATGTTTAAACAGTACTATAATAAATTCATAGGTAAGGAAACAAGCTTTGAATAAAAGAGTTTTTTCATGACCAATATCTAAAACTAACTGAAGACTAAGAACTTTTATTTCATTTTATCTTCAGAAAACAATTATATCATCATAAGCAAAGATGGATGGTGGCTAGCAGTGTAATCCAGGACGCGCGTTTCGTCCTATTTGGAACTCGTCAGCTGGATGTACATGCATCTCAGATTTGATGTTCACCCTGGGACTCGCACCTTGTACCTTAGAGACTGACCAGTTGCAGTCCTGACAAATCGATGGGAAGATTTAAACAAACAATACTCAAGGAATTTACTTAATAGAATTTTTAAAAAATACTGATTAAGATAGTTTTACTGTAATATAGTATAATTCGGAGAGCATAGACGTTATTACCTAACGTCAACTCAAGAATTATTGAAAACTGCGAAAGGTTAGACAACTAGTGAACTGTAGTTAAAAAAATATAAACTATTGGTTTTCTATCTGATTGTGTTGTAGTCAATATTTGGTTTGATCTTGTGTATGATTGTGGTTGTCTCTTATCAAAGAGATGAATTTTAAGATGACAGAGTCACGAAAAGAATCAATCTGACATATATTTATGTGGGTTTCAATGAACAAAGTAATGATCCAGTCTCATTTTTTTGTAGAAGCGATACATGAGCTGCCATAATCAATGAGATATTCAAAAAAATGTAGAAATAACTGTCATAAAAACTTAGTTAGTTTTTGTATTACTTTCATATCTTTTCATAAAAAATGTAATTATCACGATAAATTCAATAATTTGTTTGACAAGATCAAATCTATTTACTTTGAAGGTAGTGACAAACAATTAATGCGAAAAATTCAGACAACCAATTAAATTTTCTGAAACTGTAAGATATTTGTTATCAGTCATCTGATCTGAAAGTTTACCCTAAAATGTGTACTGTAGTTAAGAAGAACACTAGTTGGGGACAATCGAATGTAGTTTAGCACAACATTACAGAATATCTCACTAAAATATGAGAATAATATAGTGAACAGTTAATTTACAAAATAACAATCGATTGTCTCAATTTGACTATTTCTTCCGAAAATATCCGTCCATAGTCTACGATTATAATTGTTCATGTATTGTCGTACCAATTGCGTGCCGTTCCCGTTCTCTCCTTATCGATCTTCTACTGAAATACATTCAATGCCCGACCATCACCATATACTACTTATGTGAATATCAATAACCCACATGACAGTACTACTAACTTTTAAATAGTAGAGTGTTATTTTCTGTCAGTCTATTAAGTATATATGCATGTATTATCAACAGAATTCTGTTAACATCAAGAAACAGGATACCTCAGTGAAGTTTGTCCTAATGACGCTACAGCAAGAAAAAAAGAATGGAAGCGTTATAATGAAATTAATCAGTAAAGTGAACACATTATTTTAAAAAATAATCTCACCGATTAGCCTATACTGACACACTCACTATCATATACATATCATACATGCAGTAAATTTCGCAAAATAGACCTTGTCAGATTTTTAGAGAAATCATAAACTATCTAAAGAATTTAGATGTAACTTTGAAAATTTCACATTGTCTGAGTTGTGTATTACAATTCCGACGCTTTCTTCATTGTTTTACATAACTTTATCAGCTCATACTTCAGTTAAAGGTTAACATTTGAAAAAAAATTTGATACACAGATTCCATTAAAATTCCTTAGTTTAATATAAGCAAAATTGTTTTTTAAAATGAATATTGACAATTCACTTAGTATTGTTTGTTTGGATCTTCCCATCGATGTGTTTAGGACTGCAACTGGTCAGTCTCTAATTGGCATATGTGCATACTGTGCGTATTGCCTCGATATACCTTAATTCACAAGCATGGTAAGCAGAGATGGATAGTGGCTAGCAGTGGAATCCAGGACGCGCGTTTCGTCCTATTTGGGACTCGTCAGCTGGATGTACCTGCATCTCAGAGTTGATGTTCACTCTGGGACTCGAACCCAGTACCCTCGCTTCAAACGTGTGAATTAAGGTATATCGAGGCAATACGCACAGTATGCACATATGCCAATTAGAGACTGACCAGTTGCAGTCCTAAACACATCGATGGGAAGATCCAAACAAACAATACTAAGTGAATTCAAACTTCACCCCATCGCACAAGCAAGTGGCTATCAGGACTCAGTGGCCGAGTGGATAACGCGATGGCGTTTGAAGCGAGGGTACTGGGTTCGAGTCCCAGAGTGAACATCAACTCTGAGATGCAGGTACATCCAGCTGACGAGTCCCAAATAGGACGAAACGCGCGTCCTGGATTCCACTGCTAGCCACTATCCATCTCTGAATATTGACAATGTTGTGTAAAATGATAATAAAAGCTCAAAGAATGAAATACCATTAAAAGAATTAACTTAAACGACATATTTCTTCGCTACACGTCTGAGGCATTCATATTCACTACTTTCCAAAGTTCATTAACTTTATAAATATTTCCTTCTGTTTATCTTTAAGTTTTAAGATCAGTAGATGGAAATCAAATTTTTAAAGAGATCAAAATGAAAATAAAACAAAACATTCTACAACCATAAAAAAAATGACATAATATACATAGATATGTTTATACAAATAGATTTCGCACAAACAAGATGATAGATTTGATAATTGAATCAATGTAAATATACAGAAACTAAACTAATAACATTGAATAGTGAATTCATATCAGTACCAATAAAATTTCTTTTACACAATGTACGAAAAAGAATCATATATATTATGGTCAGTGAATATGAAAAGGCGTATAAATAATTGCTGGAGGCTAACTTCTTGGTTTCTTCAATTTGTAACTGTAGTGACAAAAAAACCAAAAAAAAAATAATGGATATGCTTGTTTGTAGATTATTGTTACTATTGTATTTACAATGGATTTCCTTTACATTTATTCTCTCATTTATACTCGATTCATTCTAATGATAAATAATTTATAGTATGTTAACTTTAGAATTTGTTTAAAATGTTTTGTTTTTATTGTACACAATGAATAATGAACAAATTTAATAGAGATGGTTTCA